GATAAATTTGAAATTGTATGAATTAAATAATAAATGCCATAGCCACAAAAGTTAAAAACAAAATTTTCCCAAAATTTAATCTTGACCTATTTTTAAAGTAATTATTATCTTTTGGTTTTGTTGTTACGGCCAGGTGATATTCATTTTAATTTATGCGCATTTCAATTATTTGTTCTTATGTAATTATTATCTTTTTATCTTAATTTCGTTTATATTTTTTTAATATCAACCATGTGGTATTCGGTCATCGTTAATTGCCGACTAATATGGATCCTAGGTAGGTAACAATTAGGAATGTAAATGGGTCATACGACTTAATAGGGATTCAGGGCTCAACCTACCTAAGGCCAGATTCAGTCTATTATATATAGTTAAATAGAATAGACTTATACTTTTAAAAAAGTCTATTTAAAAAGCAGGCCATAGACCTTCTTTTAAATACTGGACCTATAAATTTACAGGTCGGCCTATATCATTTAATTTATTTTTAAATAAAATAAATAAAATTTATTTTAATGATTTTGAATAATAAAATATTATTATTTTAAATAAAATAAATAAAATTTATTTTAATGATTTTGAATAATAAAATAAAAATATTTTAATTATTGAATGCCTAATATGCTTAAACAGGTTAACAAGTTTAGGCCAAAGTTTGTATTTTTTAAATATAAGGCAGACCAAAATTATAATTTGGGTCTATACAAAGAAAACAGATCAGGTCAGGCATAAAATATTTTACATAGACCTGACATATTTAAGTTAAAGTCCAGCCCAACCTATTTATACACCTCCTACATATATAGAATCACAAAAATGACAAAAAATTTCCTATTAAATTTTAACACCTGTATATCATGTTTGTTTATTATTAAATAAAATTAATTTGTAGACTGTCTTATTATTTATTTTTTTTGGAGGTTAGACTGTCTTATTTTATCTCATAGCTTAATATAAGTTCTTTTTGTTTATTTGGCCTAACTTTTTTAGAAACAATAATTAAATGATCTAAAACTTATTTAAATACTCTTGTTTCAAAAAAATCATTCAAATAACTAGATGAATTTAGGCTTTCTATATTTAAAATAGACCAAAGCATATATAATTTTTTATTGTTGTAAATAAATAAATAAATTCTATATATGTATAAACAACAAATTTTTGGCATTTAAAATATTAAGTGATACACTTGTAATCGTAATATGTACAAGTGATAAATTTGAAATTGTATGAATTAAATAATAAATGCCATAGCCACAAAAGTTAAAAACAAAATTTTCCCAAAATTTAATCTTGACCTATTTTTAAAGTAATTTTATCTTGACAAAAATTTTCTCTTCATTTCCCCCTCTTCTTCTTTTCCCCTTCTTTTATTACTTATATTTATATTTATATATATTATTACTATTTTATTTATTTTTTATTTTTATTTTTATTATCTTTTTCAACCTTTTCGTATCTTTTATTTGGGTCAGTTATCACCAACCTCAATTAATTTGAGATAAATGTGTAGTTGATGTTGATGTTGTATCGACATTATTTGTTGGGAAATAAATCCAGACCAAAATTAAAAAAAAATATCACAATATTTATTCCTATGCAACGGAAACATCACTTGGTTATTTCTTCCATTAAAATATTGCATAATATAAACCAACAACATAAAAGTATAAATAAAATCACAAGCATAGAATTTAACTTGGTTCACCCAAAACTAGGGTACGTCCTCGTGAGATTAAAATCCACAAAAATAAATTACAAAGTACACAATATACAACACTCGGATTATCCCAAATCCAAGATCCCAATATACATCCTCTCACCAATTCTTGAACACCCGAACTTTCCAACTCCATCTCTTTTTCTTATCTCTCTCATACTCTCTCTAGTACAATATATTACTTCTCTCTTAGGTTCATGACCTTAGTATTAATTAAGAGTGAGCTACAAAATAACCTTTCAATTTTTCAAGAAGAGCATCTACCTTTCAATTCATACTTGGAGACTGCAAATGATTTAATTGTAAATAGTGTCAATTAATCTTCACTAGCATCAATCCACGCAAGATATTATTCTATACTTTATTTTAGAGAATTGTTGTAATTTTTTTCATGTAGTGAAAATTTCCTATACTCTTGCATGTGATTTTTCCCAAATGAATTTTTCAGATAAATATTATGTGTCGCTTCTATTGGTGTATTTGTACATATTGACTTTTGACCGGTAGAATTAAGATAAAGTTAATTCAAATTGTTAGTGTCTAGAAAATTAATTTAAATTTAGTGATTAATTAATTAATCATTATTACATTCACACTTACTCTGCTGAATTCACACTTATCTCACCAATTGGTTCGGTTAACATTGTTTTAAAATTTCTATTTTTCTTATCTCTATACAAGTTATATAATACTTTGTTTTTCCTTATAAGATTTACATAATAGAAATGTGGATTAATGATTTTTTATTTTATTTTTTTAAATGGATTAATGAAGTTTTAGTCATGGGTACTTGACTATTTGGTAGCCTTACCGTGCTGAAATGTATTTGACAGAAAGAGGTAATCAAGGTGATATTTTAACCTTATGTGGTCAAACCACCCACCAATTTGACCCCTGAAAAACCGGTGGTTAGTCTATAGTTAACCCTCCAATTTTTTATGACAGGAGATGAATTTAAATTTGCATGTACATCAAGAGTAATATACGAAGAGATCTTTAAGCTTTATATTTACATTATTAGATTCCTAATGTATTTATTTTGTATGAATGGTTATTTCTGATAATACTATGAGTTATTATATGTTTGGATTTGTATGAGTATGAGGAAAATTTCTTCTATATTCCCATAGTATTGAAAGTTTACTATATCTTTTACTAAATTTGGAAGGGGAAAAAAGTAGTATAAATTACTTTTACCATTTTATCCATTTTTTATGGTTAGTCTCACTTACGTTCCACTTTTTCCTATTTTTAGTAAAGAAATATGTGCTCCCCTAATACTAAATACATGCTCCAGTACGAGGACCGGATGTTTCCAGAATACCCGTAAGCAATTGGACAGGTGGATATCTCAATATTTCTAAGTATTTGCAAACTTATTTAGATATTAGATATATAAATGTCTTCAAGTATGTAATCACTCTGCATTATTATTTAAGATTTTTGAAAATAACAACATATCTTTATTGCCCAATATTAATTCTCTTGTACATGGAAACAGTTGTGAGAAGTGAGAAGTGAGAAGTGAGAACTCATATGAAGGCGGGCATCGATTTTGAGGAATAAAAATGAGAAAAATATAATAAAGGAAGAAAAGAATAATGCTGATTGATATTATGTAAGGCAAATATTACGTGTAAATAATATAATTTTCATTATTTCAATATATAGTTTTGAGTAAAATATTTTTGGGTCCTCAACAAAAATTACGGGCTCATTTTAATTCTTTAGAAAAAAAATCAATTTGTGGTTCATTTAAAATTCAAAATAGACCTAATTAGTTGAAATCGTGATTTCTCTAAAATTAAAAAAAAAAAATCAATGTTAGTCCCTCAAAAGGACTAACATGGGACTATTTTGAATTTCAGAAGGATAATGAGTCGATTTTTTTGCTATAGGATTAAATTGGGCCATATGATATTTGTGGAGGATTTAAAAAGTACTTTACTCAATAGTTTTCATCATTTAAAATTTCGGATTAGTATTTGTCTTTATAAAAGATATAGAATTGTATCACTTTAGTCAAAACTACATTATTTTATGGTGAGAAAAAGAGTCGCTCAATAAAAATTATGATGGAAGAAAGTGAGATTTCTTTTTAATTTAAATAGGTCAAATATTTTTCTCTTAAAATTTATCCAAGCTTGCTTAAATTTTAGAGGAATGTTATACTTATAATTTATTTTCGTTTATAACTTCTTACAATCATATGTTAACTGTTAATTTTCGTCAATTAACGGTTATTATTTTCACAAATTAAATTAATTAATTATTAATTCACAATAAATGATAATCGTTTTATTGACAGAAATCAACAGTTAAAATATGATTATAAGAGGTTGTAAATGAAAATAAATTATAAATATAATCTCTCGTATTAAATTTTAAGCGGGACATAATATTTTAAATTTTACACGGAGTGCAAGCCCAAAGTTTTTATCTTTTTGCATATATGGTTTGTAATTGTTGGCCAGTTAAAAGGAGAAATTGGATAATGAATTTAAACCCGTACGAATTAAAATATTTAGAAACAAGTAATACTAGCAATTTAAAAAGGAGAGGTTATACTTACTACCTCTATTTCTTACTATCTCTATTTCTTACTATCTTTTACTATTAAATTTTAACCGTTGATTTCTGCCAAACATAATGGTTATAATTTATGGGGTCATACTTATTAATTAATTATTAATTTTCAATAAATTATAACCGTTAGATTAGAGGAAATCTACGGTTAAGATTTGGTAGTAAGAGGTAGTAAGAAAAATAGGTAGTAAATATAACATTTCCCATTTAAAAAAAATGAAAAATGGAAGATAACTTTTTCGAAAGTATTTTGATGATTTTTATTTTAATTATTGAAACATTGAATAAAAAGTTTTAGGACTTATCTAATCTCATATTACATTGAGAGAAAAAAATTAGGTCATAGATATTTAGTAATGGAGCTCACCGTCTAAAAAAAAAAGAAAGAAAAGAAAAAGATTGCATGATCATAAAAGAACGTGTAGAAAGAAAAACTTATATGAGAATAGTTTTTCCCAAAGTTTTAAGACATTAACCAAATAAAAGATGAATATTGAAAGTTGAAACTTGAAAACATGGGTGATGAATGATGATAATGAAAAAAGGAGTTGATTGCGCGTGAGAGCCATACAAATTTGACTAAGTCCCTTATCCTTCTGAATGCTTACTGCTAGCGATTCAGGGAACGAACTAGGAAACCGAGTTTAAGAAGCTAGACTTTGGAAGTTAAATCTAGGCCATTTACTACAACGCGCATGTGTAATCTACGGCAGCAAAGACACTGTATGACTCCTTTTTGGGTCGTATCTGTCTATTTTAATAGTAAAGAAATATTTTCATTTTTTTCCCATTTCTTAGCTGCGAAGCATCCTTTACTACATAAACTAAAAGATCCCCCAATGTTTCCCAAATCTACAACTTCATTACTAGCAACCAAACATCTTTGGATCAACAACCGAATTTGGAGCCACCAACTTTAGAATATGGTGGGTCATTCATTCCATTCTTCCTATTTATTTTGGAAAATAAAATCCTTATTTGAATATATATATATATATATATATATATATAGAGAGAGAGAGAAAGAGATAGATCCTTTGACACCGGTGTCAAATTTGAAGTTTGACACCTCATCTGAGAACCGTTAGATCAAAAAAGATCAATGGTGTCACATGCTTACAAATCAGAGTCGTTGGTGTTTTTTTTTATAACGGCTCTCAGAAGAGGTGTCAAACTTCAAATTTGACACCGGTGTCAAAGATCTTACCTCATATATATATATATATATATATATATATATATATATATATATATATATACTTTCTTAATCCTTATGGCACTCATCTTTTAATATGTCTCTGTATCCTGCGCAGTGGTAAGTAATACCTACGAGATTTTAGCCCATGTATATATATACTTTCTTAATCCTTATGGCACTCATCTTTTAATATGTCTCTGTATCCTGCGCAGTGGTAAGTAATACCTACGAGATTTTAGCCCATGTATATATATACTTTAGCCCATGTACAAATAGTAGGCTAAGCCTAATGTAAATATGTTATTTTCTATGTATCAATTATTTATTTATCAATTTCTTTTTAAAGAAAGCATGTATGGTCCAAGATACATGAATTTGAATAAACGGATCTACTAATTCATATTATTTGACATGAGATCAAAAGCGTGCTATTAATTTTTTTTAGATTAAATACGATAGTGTACCTTAATAATGAATGCCTGTAGTGGAATAAACAAAATACAATAGAAGCAAGCTATTTTGTTGTTAAAATTTTGGTTATATTAGGTCCATTTCTTGATTGCCATGCGTAATTTAGCTTAATGACGAAATGTGTCAATTATGAACTAATTAATCTGCTTATTGCTTGTTATGATTTTGATTCTGTAGGAGCAGACTCTCTCCTTTGAAATCGAGGTATTGCTACTTTCTAGATTATCTATTTTACTTATATTTTTCATTCATTCCTTTTCAAAAAAAATTCTCCCGTACAGTAATTTTAACATTTTCCTCATAATTATTTCTGTATCAGCATGAATTTGTTCAAAACTCCGAAAGAGTGAAGTCTGTTGATCTGCATCCAACTGAGCCATGGTAATGACACTTCTAATTGGCTTTTGATACGTATTTCTGCAATTCTAAAAGGCTAGAACATGATTTCTTGTATATGCAAGATGAGAAAAACATCATCGGTTAGCAAGTTTCCTTGTGCAAATTCTATATATAACAAACTTCAGGCACCTGCAAAAACGTCAATTTTAATGTTTTCTACAGCTGGTACAGCAAGTACTTAAATTTAGTGTTTTTCTCATGCAGGATTCTACTGGGTTTGTATTCAGGAACTATTTCTATTTGGAATTATCAGACAAAGGTAAAATATCATATGTGAAGACTGCACTTTAGGACGATTTCTCATACAAATAAACTATATCCTGACACCCCGATTTCAATGTCTATTAATTTGTATGAAGAAACTGGCGTTATTGATAGTCCAAAAAAGAAAAAAAGAAAAAAGTTTATCTATATGAATTTATTCCTACTGCTTTAATCGGCTGTAGATCTAGAAACAGTAGAACTTTTAGTTGTTCTGTATCTTTCAGCATATGTATGTGTCTCTCCTTTCTTGAGGATATTCGTAGAATTTTGAGGTTGGACTTCAGAGTTTATTGTTAACCTTTGTTTTGATACTTTGACAGACTGAAGTCAAATCTTTCACATTCACTGAATCTCCAGGTAAATTTCACAATGCAGCACTTGTGTCAGCAATAAATTTCTGCCTACTTCTTTGGTGTAATTATACGTTTGCTTTATGTCTTAGTTCCTAACTCAGTTATCTTATGTTTGTTCTGTGACAATGCTTGCAGTCAGATCGGCAAAGTTCATTGCTCGGGAAAACTGGGTTGTTGCCGCGAGTGATGACAAATATATCCGCGTCTACAGTTATGACAAAATGGAAAAGATAGTACAATTTGAGGAACACACAGATTATATCAGGAGTTTGGCTGTGCATCCTTCGCTGCCATATGTGGTGTCAGCTTCTGATGATAAAGTTGTAAAGGTGTGGAATTGGAGTGAAGGTTGGGCTTGTTATAAGACCATTGAAGGGCACTCGCTTTATGTGATGCAAGTGGCATTTAACCCGAAGGATCCAGCTACCTTTGCCAGTGCATCCCTTGATGGCACCTTGAAGGTATCCTGAGTGCCCCTTAGCTGCAAACTTCATGACTGCATATCTTAAATTCATTAACTAACTTTTGCTTCAATTGTCTCATTTTTGTAGATTTGGAGTCTTGATTCCTCAACTCCAAATTTTACCCTGGATGGACACTTGAAAGGAGTGAATTGTGTTGATTACTTCATTAGCAATGACAAACTATATCTTTTAAGTGGTTCTGATGATTACACTGCAAAGGTTTGCATATCAATCACTCTTTAGTATTCTTTGTCTTCAGTCTTTGAAATATTTTCCATCAAAGCTTAAATCCACATTTCAACAGATATGGGATTATCATTCTAGAAACTGTGTACAAACACTTGAAGGACATGGAAACAATGTTACAGCTGTATGTGCTCATCCTGAGCTTCCTATAATAATAACAGCTTCTGAGGATTCTACTGTTAAAATATGGGATGCTGTCACATACAGGTACTTCATTAGATATTGGAAATCTCATTTTCTATTATGGGCTCATCAATTTATGTTGGGATAAATCCCAGAAATGAAACATTTTCCCCTAGCATGTTCTCATCCAAAATTACTATATTCATTTTAGAGTGTTAAAGAAACTATCTTGTGGTTCACATTTTTAACAGTTACCATTAACTTGCAGGTTTCAGACTACGTTGAACTTTGATCTCGGAAGAGTATGGAGTATTGGATACAAGAAAGGATCACCTCAGTAATTATTTGAAACTTCCTTTGACTACCAACAATTAAACACTTTTTACTTTTCCTCATTGTCTGACATCACATCGCTGCTTCTTGCAGGCTTGCTTTTGGTTGTGACAAAGGATGTGTTATCGTTAAGGTGAACGTCAAAGCTGCCCAATGAAACGAGACTAAAAGGACAAACTAAACTGCTTTATCGGACTTTGGAAGGAGGACTACATTTAACATATCTGCTGCTGCAGAAATTACAAATTATGACAACTCTAAAATAGAAGACCAACGGCAGAATCGCATGTTCTCTTTGTAGTTGAGCTTAGCAGAACATGCTATTTTGTTGTTCGTTGTTTGTATTTTAAGTTGTTGCCCGAATAAATTAGTTTAAGTATATACTGTAGGCCCTGTAGTGTGAGTGTTCCTGTTGTAATATGTAGTGTGCTCACTTAATAAATTTCTTTCTTCAAAACTCTTATATTTTCATTCAAAAATAATTTAAGTAGGACATTGATCTAGTCATCTTCAAAATCCCCATAAGGGGACACATTGATGAATTAATTTAAATTCAAACAATGAATATAGTAAAATTACACATCTGCTAACCCAGTCATGCGCAACCCACATAATTTGCGTGAAATTTAAAACGACAATTTTACAAACTAAAAAGTAATGCTGTATTAGCAACTGCCAACCAATAGAAAGTAACTGATATATACACTCTGTTCACTTGGAAATAATCTTTAGCTGCTAATTAGCGGGTACATAAAAGTAAAAAGACAAAAGATTTTTACAAGTATTGACACCTGACCTTATCACAAAGAATCTCATCAGAAAATAATGAACTGAATTCCATTAATGAAAAGTGAGGAGTACAAGCATCGTACAAATATATACAAAGGTAACTTTAGTGACAGAGGAAAATAACTGAATAACTGAACCCCTATAACCTACTAAGAGCCCGTTTGTATTGGCTTGTCAAAAAAGTCTTTTTTATGACTTTCTTATTTTAAAAGTATTTTCTATAAAAATTAAAGCTAATTTTTGAAAAAAAAGATTTAGCTTTTAACTTCTGCTTTTTTTTAAAAGCTAAAATTTTTAGCTTTTGAAAAAAAATAGATTTTTAGTTTTTTTTTATGACTTCTGCTTTTTCTAAAAGCAGACATCCAAATAGATATTTTTCGACATTTTTCGAGAGGTGCTTTTTTTTCTTAAACAAAACAGTTTTTGAAGAAAAAAAAAATAATCCAAACGAGCTCTAATTGTACAAGAGCAATACAAACAGAAAGCTAACCGCGTAACAACTTTCTATTTGTCACGTTGGTTCGTCATCTGATGCATGGGCATGTCACATGTGTATGAGCTCTTTGCAGTTCTGATACATGGGTTTGGGCTTCTGTAATTAACTCCAATAAAGAAATTATACAATATGCAAAGAGCCACTGATAGGCCCAAGCTGAGGAGAACGGCTGGAGCCCCTTTGTGGCCAAGGACTTTATTACTGATATGTAGCTGGGCCAATGTAGTGTAGTTAACCCAATATAGATGTACCTGCTAAGAGCTTAGTCTAATTGTGTAGGTTGTTGTAAAGATTGCTATTAGAAGACGTGGCTTGAGTTGTGGGTTAGTCACCGGAACAGTCATTATTTTGTCACTGTTCTCAATTTTTTTTTACTTAAATGCTATGTCAATAGTGTTATTTTTCAATCTGCCACGTGGACAAGTTCGTTGGGCAATGTAGCGAACTCGCTTGCTGATGTGTCACGTTGCACAAATTCGCTACATCAGATAGCGAACTAGTGTAATTAATACCCCTGCATGTTCCCACCTGCCCAGCCACGTGGCAGACATGCACCAAGTTCGCTGGGGTGGGCAGGGAACTTGGTGTAACGGCTAACTTTCCCTCCCCTATATAAACCCCCTCCCAATTTCCCCAACCCATCTCATCTCTCCTCTCACTCTATCTCTTTTACATTTTCTCTTCCTCTCTCATTGTGTTTCTCTCTCTACATTAAAGGTTAGTATTTTATGTAGTTTTTGTATAGCTTTGTGTATTGTATTTAAATGTTGTTAATAATTATTTTTAGCGTGAAACCTTAGGTTAGAATGCAATTGTGACAATAGAATAGAATTGTTTGTTGTGAATCTATGATTTAATATTAGTGTTGTTAGGTTTTTATATTTATATTAATTTATTAATTAATAATATTAATTGTTTGATATTATATAAAGAATTTAAACTTAGTTTATAAAATATTTATATTAATGTTTTTAAATTTAGTAATTAATAATTGGTAATTAGGCATTAACTACTAATATTAATTGTGCCACGTTATTTAGCTATTGGTTGGTATCGTAGGGTAGGGAAAATTGTCTATTAATGTTGTTAAAATTTGTATTGAATAAATTATTCTTTATATTATATTTAGTTATAGGTTGAAATGAAGTTTAGAATAAATTTATTTTAATGTTGTTAACTGTATTTAATAATTTTCTGATTATGCAAGATTTAATAATATTAAATTAAAAAATATTATTTAGTTATAGAGTTGCAAAATAGGTTACAAAAATTTGTAGATTAATGTTGTTAAATTTTGCTATTTAATATTTTTTTATTATGCAATTCTTAATAATATTAAATTAAATGACATTATGTAGTTATATAATATTAAATATATTTATTTATAAGTTGAAAATATAGTGTTAAATATTAATTGTGTGATATTATTTATTGATTACCCATTATTATGCAATATTAATTGTGAATGTGAATTTATTTAGGGTAGAAAACTTAGGTCAGAAGAATTAGTAATTGTATCCTATTAATTTTTTAATAACATTAATTTTGTGGTATTATTTATGCATTATTTAATAAAATTAAGTAATATTTAATTATGCACATTTTTCTAAGTATATTAATGTTGTAATTTTTTATTAATTGTGAATGTTTATTTATTTATGACTTATAGCATATTGTCCACATGTTTGATTTTTAATTATTTCTTAATAATTAGTATTTAGTTTTTATATATTATAATTTTGTAATTGTAATATAATTGTTTTTGTAAATAGATCGATGGACCAGCACGACCCGCATCAGACTTTCATCGACCACGAGGTTAGTGAAAATTGTTTTTTTTTTTTTTTTTGTAAATTGTTTTTTTTTTTTTTTTGTAAATTTGTAAATTGTTTTTGTATAAGCTGCATTCATAGTTGGATGTTTTATAAATTTTGGTAAATTATTACTGTTTCGTAAACAAATTCTCGCTGATATCGGCCCTGGTTGAGAGAGGGCGTCCTGAGACGCGTACATTTCATATGGCGATGGGTGAGGTGACAATCACCTTGGAGGATGTTCCCCATCTGCTGGGGTTGCCCACGGATGGGGAGGTTATCTGTGGCCGCGCTGGAGGCCATCCTTTCCAGCAGATGATTACTGATTTGTTGGGAGTTCAGCCCGCGTGACAGCGAGATTTTCATAAAAACCAGTTGTCGCTGACATTTCTTTGTCAGAGATTTCTGCATTACGCAGACCATGCCGACACTGAGGCTGATCGGATGAGATACACACATGCCTTGATCCTGCGTATATTGGGGGGGATGTTATTCGTTGAGACTGCATCCAGCTTCATCCTGGCCCGATATGCCCAGCCGGATATCTTCTCTCACATCGAGATAGTTTATCTTCTCTCTCATCAGACGCTACCGTCATCATATTGACGTTATGCCCAGCCGCAAGATACGGTGGAGGCCTTATCATGGATTCCCAGCACACCTGCCGTCAGGCGACGAGTCGCGCAGATGGTTAGTTGTATGTCCACTCATACACTACCAGGTTGTCGTGTACCAGCAGCCTGATCGAGTACTGCGATAGTTTGGATACAGGCAGCCGATCCCGAGCGATCCATTACGGGGGTTATGGAGAGTGTTGACGGTGACGAGGGTGCTGTGTCTGACGTTGCAGGAGACGATGATGACGGCATAAGGAGGAACCCTCCTAGAGATGCCAGGGAGCGGTGTTTCTTGTCACCATTTGAGCATGACAGGGCACGTTGTGCAAAATATCATGGGAGGAGGAGGCAACAATGATTTTAGGATTTATTTGTAGTACTTTTTGTTAGATCATTTTGTTCCCTGTATATTGTATTGACAGTTATGGATCGGTTATGTTGTGACTGTTTATTTTGCTTAGCTTTTACATTTCACCTTGTTGCGTTTAATTGACAGTATTAGACTATTCGAGAGAGGGACGGTAGGTTTAATGAGATGAATATAAACATAGTAAGCAACAACACGAAGTTTGGAAAACGTTTACTAACAAGAAAAAGTACCTACATAACCACATACTAAACATACATCACAATTAACAACACAGACAATTAAGCAGTCATACAAACAGTTAATAACACACAAATTGATGTCTAAGCGAACACATATAGGTTACATACGAAAATGAGACCGTTTAGTAGCCTTGCTGGCGAGATGGACAACGACGTCTGTCATGGCCAACAACCTTACAATAACCACATCTTGCCCGCGTAGTCGAGCCTTCGCGCTGGTCCATTTCGTTACGGATGCGGGTACTTCGCGGCCTGCCTTTTTTGTCTAAGTGACACATTCGAGAGAATGGTTGGGCCTTGGTTGGAAGGTATGAAATCTTTATTACCAATTGGGTACCATTGACCGGAATATACCTGTCATTGATATGATGCACTATATGTAGGATCAATATACTGTAAGGGGTCATGGTTAACTGATTTGCATGCTGCAATCACATGACTATATGGGCACCTAAAAGCAGTGAACTCACCACACTGGCATGCCCGATCAGCTAACGAAACCCACCATTTCTTTCCGCCTCTATGGGCTCTTTGATTGTAAGACTCTTGAACTTCAAATCGTGTTTTCTGTCTGTCATACGACGTAACAAAGTGTGTTGCAGCCTTTTGTTGGTTTTTAACGTACGATACCCAGAACACTTTGGCGTAACGATTACCTCTGTCGATCTCTTCTCGGGCCTCCTGCCCGTGTGCCAAAAAGTATTGATTTAGCCTAGTGTATGTGATGCGCACTAAAGACGTGATAGGTAGGTTTCTGGCACCTTTAAGGACCTTGTTAACACACTCTGACAAGTTTGTAGTCATGTGGCCAAATCGTCTTCCTTCAGCATCGTACGATATACTCCATTTTTCCTTCCGAATGCAATCAATCCATGCTGCAATTTATGGGCTTGATTCTTTAAATTTTTCCAAACCAGCATCAAAATCCAATCTCAATGTAGTATAACCTGCGCATTAATACACATAATTATAACAGATTTAAATTAGTAATATACTACAATTGCAACCAACAGGAAACATAGAGGCAGAACCATACCTAACTTCTTTAACTGCTTCTTCAACATGATATTTTTGAACTTATGATTGAAATTACTAGCCACATGTCGAAGGTAAAAAACATGGTAATCTTTGGGTGGTTGCCACCCTAGGTCAACATTATTGACGGTCGTCAATATACCGATATGTCGATCAAAAACAAAACATATTCCATCTTTCTAAGTCACATGGATTCGTAACATAGCCAAAAACCAGGACCAATTTTCAATATTCTCACAATTAACAACAGCAAATGCAATAGGCAAGACATAATTGTTACCGTCAACGGCCGTAGCAATCAATAGTGTTCCGCGGTATTTCCCATACAAATGTGTTCCATCGTTCTGGAGCATAGGCTTACAATAATTAAATGCATCACAACACTGTTTGAATGTCCAAAAAACCCTTTTGAACACCTTGTGCGATCCATCAAGGCGACCATCAATCCTATGATCATTCACGTCCAGTTTATAAGTAGACCCTGGAGAAAACAACAACATATAATCCAACCATCTCGGCAGAAATGCGTACGACTCATCCCAATCCCTAAAAACCTTCACAATTTCCTTCTGCTTTACTTTCCAGGCCTTTCTGTATGATATATGAGATCCTAGATTTGATGCAATCCTCTCTTGGATTAAACCCATTTTAACACTTAGCTCTTCATGTATCATTTCTGCGGGTTGACAAACAATAACGTATTAGCGAAACAATGGTATTTATTGTATACATAGAGAGGCTGGGCATGAAAGATTGAGTAGGAGATCTCAAATGATAAAAATAATGCCGGAAATGGATTCAGGACGAAAAATCGAGTGGATAGACAAGTTTCGAAGAAAAAAAATGATGAATAGTGATTTTTCCGGTGTAAAATACTGCGGTATAAGTGTACCGATAAGCGTGAAATTTTTATCAATATTTTTAGGAAACAAAAATATTTCATGAACCAGAGAAATAAGTAGATTATGAATTTATAGTTGGAATTGGTGATTGGATTAAAGTTAAATCGCGTGTGGGACCCGCTCCACCCAAATCCACTTAAGTTTCTTTCCCTCCCCTCACAATCACACGACCTATCTCTCTCTCTCTCTTTTCCCTTCTTCTTCACGTTGCAGCCCTCCTCTCCCCCATTGATGAACCTTCACTTCCTCTCTTCTCAACTCATCACTTTCTCCACCAAATCCATTGAAATTTGTGTTGAAATTCATTGGAAAACTCATCCTAAAGCCATTGGTGATACTCCCAAGCCTTGAAATCGCCTCTTGGAGGAGTATTTGGCCTAGGTCAGTTTCAAAAATTTAGGGAAAATGGTGTTCATGGAGGCATTGGACCTCTCATTGCTTGGATAAGCCTTGAAGGAGTGTCAAGCTTTGACTGTGAGTATATTTGCATCATTTTTACGGTTGATTTTGTAGATCAAAAAGTATGAACCCTAAGTCTTTAATTGTTGATGTGTGATGATAGGGAGCTCAAATGGAAAAATTGTATTAGAGGATAATGTCTTAGAATGACGCGTTTGAGCTAGAAATGCAATAAAAATTATTGGTGAAATATGTTCATAACTTAGGAAATTTTGCATGATGCCATGGATTTGTGAGAGTTGAATTGTGTAAGGAATGGATTGATGAGTTGTTATATGATGTTGTAATATGATTATATGATGAGTATGAGTGTTGAATTGGATTGAATACCCCTAGATTGATGGGCATGGGCAATTCGACCTATTGAGGTCATGGTTGGTTTGATGATATAAAAAAATGGTATAATTGGTGCTGTATGATTGTAAGTGGTGTTTAAATGGATGATAGGTTGGTATGATGTTGTGGAATTGGAAGAATGTTGGATGTATTGAGTATGTGGTAAATTGGCCTATGATGATGTATAAGGAACAATAAGTGTAAATAACTCGTTGGCCTAAGTGAATGTGTTTGGGTATGTGTATTTTGAAAGTTAATTGTTGTCTTGGAATTGATAGATGACCATGATTGTTGATCATTCAGGTTGCCTCTCACGGACACTATGGAAGCGGAATAAGCTTGGAGCTTACGTTGGGGAGCATTGGCTTCGGAGTTGAGGTAAATCTTTGGAACTTGGGTTTAGTCCCTTGTGTGCTCCACCACACCTAGTGGAAGGTTGTGGTTGGATTTTGTGTCTTTGAACATTGTGTAAATATGTATGTTCATGCATTATTGCTTTATTGTGTGACATGCTTGGAGCATGTTGTGTGTGAATTGTTTGATCTCTGGCCAGTAGATGTGTGTTTGTTTGGACTTCCGCTGGAGATATCCTTTGGGGATTCTGGTCGGGTTATTGTCGTGGGGCCGACTCTGGGAGCGGTACCAGGATGATCCAAATGTGGAACTTCCGCTGGATAGGGCTCATGAGGAGTTCTAGTTGGGTTTTGCCATGGGGTCGTCTCAACCATGAGAGAGGCATCAGGAAGATTCCGGGAGTTATATGATGGGGTCCTTGAACGGAATTGTAACACCCCGTGTATACCCGGTAATGTTATCGTACTATCGTATTAAGCTGCGCTTAATTAAAAATGCGGAATATCTTTTTCTTTTCCAATTATGACGTCATTATATTTAGCCAAGTTGATTACTTAATCAATTTCATAAAATATCGCCTGTATGTAAATTGCAATAAGACATCTACTGAAATACCTCAATATATAAATATAAAGTGAGTATCTAAGTCACGACATTACATCACGTAATCCGGACAATATCCTGATACATTAAAACAACTCCAAATAAAACAAGACATAACCCAGTCTAAGTGGCATGGACAATCCCCATGCTCACCAACTCAATAGTGTCTCAACAAAATAATCATAAACATAAAATGAAGCTCAAAGTATAAAAGCAGCATGCATATCCAGCATCCAACAAGCCAGCATATAATATCATCAATATCTAACTCAGCTCCGGCCTCCTGCCGCCTGGGGCCTCAACCCCAACATTACTTGATCCTGAAATAAGCATTCCCCAAACGTGGGGTGAGATCTCTAAACTAGAAATCTCAGTAAGACTAGGGGTCCTCAAGGATCTTCCACCCCAAGCTCACTTACATGTGCAACATAAGTTCTAAAAGTATATCAATATCAGTTCCAAAACTATGCAGTGCAACAGATATTCATCCCATGTGTGTTTAAACTATTCTACTGGCCAGAGAAATGCAGGAATACGTCTATACCTACATGTAGTACAAGGAGCACTGCTTGCACCTCACCCACAGCCTCACCATGTTGTATGTACCACATACTCAGGCTTACCGTATAGGTGAAACACCACATGCATATCATAAAGGCACAAGCATATAACAGCTCAACAGCATTTCCAAAACATCGAAAGCATGTAGCACAGCATGCATATAACCATACCCCCATGGGACATGGTGGAACCATAACATGGCTAAACCGAGGACACAAAAACTTACCTTGCAAGCTCACTATCCAAAGCCAAGAGTCCTCACAGCTCAAGTCCAACACACAGCAGATCACAATCTGATTTAGGACCAGCAAGTATATCAACATACATAGCTCAAAAGCATTAACATAAAGACTACGTTCTCCTTTTACGATTTACGTCTTAAAGCTTCCAACAAGGCCACAAGCCCTTAAATCACATGATTCTTACTTAGTTCATTAATTATAGAAGTTTAACTTCATCACTCTAGGGTCCACAAACCCCCAATAGCTATTGTCCTCACAGCACAGCTATTGTTCTACGAAATCCCAGAATATCCGGATATTCCTCAGGGACATATCCGGATATCCAATATCCGGATATCTCACTGTCAATATCCGGATATCTCACTGTCAATATCCGGATATCCAATATCCGGATATCCAGATCCCCATATCCGGATATCAATATCCGGATATCTCACGGGCAAATATCCGGATATTTCGCGACAGAATGCAGTTTCTGCATTTCGCGAAGATATCCTTCAAAGGTACCATTTTTACCGATTACAGAAGCCTAAACGTGCATTTCTAGGTGTGTTTGACATTACCCCAAGTTAGGTTATCATCTTTTAACCATTACATGCATCAAGGTTCCATTTTTAAGCATAAAAACTCAAGTTCAAGGGTGATGACCATACCACAAGCTTGAAACAGCCAACTAAGGGTGCTCTTGGAGCTCACAAGTCAGCTCCAAGGTACTGACTTCCAAGGTAAACGAAAATGATGCACAAGGTAGCTCTTTTTCTCAACAAGGAAACTCCTTGAAGCTTCAAAACACCAAATAAAGGCTCTCTCCTCCCCAAAACCAGAAAACAGCAAGCTCAACCTCACAAGACAGCAGTCAAACACAAAAAAGAAGTCTCTTTCTCACTCACAAGGATTGTTCACACTCACCCAAGGTGTTTAAGAGAAGATACCAAGAAGAAATGAGGCTCCTTGGCTCACAACAATGGAGGAAAAGGTGGCAAAGGGTGGCTGGAGGTGCTTCAGCAAAATGGAGGCACATAGGTTGTAATTTTAACCTAGGATCATGTGCCACAATGTGTATATATAGCCACTTAACAAACAAACACGCAGTATTAACTTTAATTGCTACGCTTAGCATTTTAATCCCAAACTTTGGATTCTTAACCTACTCAACTTTACAAGAATTATCATACTTTTCTTATAATTTGCGGAGCACATTTCCGGTACGCGCTTTTCATAGCCAATATCAGTTTCTGGCACCAGTTCTTATTATTTTGACTTGAAACTCGTTTTACAAGTCCTACATAATATTCTAGTAATTATCATGCACTTATTATAATTTTCCGGGATACTTTTTCGGTACGCATTTATACCGACTAGCAGAACCAGTATCTGCACTTTTCTTCCGAAAAGCGACTTTCAGCATTCTTAATCACTTAACATAATTATTAAAGCCTCTTAATAATTATTAGGGTCAATTATGGAATCATTTCCTAATTTAACATAATTAATTACTTAATTTCCTTAATTAACGGTGCGGGTTCTTACAGGAATCCTGATGTGGATGTTCTTGGATTTGTCCCCAGTTGTTTGTGATATTGTATGCCATGCATTTCATACTATGTTATTTGTTGCACATTGAGTGAGCCATGGGGTGGAGTGATCCTCTAGTACCCTTGGTTTACTGAGATATATTTGTATATCTCACTCCGTGTTTGGGGATATCATTTCAGGTTAGGTTGAGCCTGGGGGAGTGGAGCATGAGGTGCACATGGAGGGCATAGCATGTTAAAGGATTTTATCGAATACACCTAGTATAGTGTTTAATACTTTGGATTTAGGTTATGAGCTTGTGCATGTTGATATTGCCATGCTTTTGTATATTCATGACTATATGTAAGTCTTTCAAAAAATGGATGTATAACTATGCCTTGGATTTATATGTATATTCTGTGTGAGCATGAGATTTGTCCATAGCCACCTATGATGTATTTGAAGCATGTATAATATGAAGGAAGGGCTTTAGGCCTATTGTAGAATTGATTATAGGTACGATTAACAAATGCATGTAATTGAACTTGATGGTTGAAACCTAATAAGTATTGTATATGTAAGATAAACTGTGATGGGTTGTAAGTGCCCCAAGGCATTGTTGGTCCTTGTGTGTGCCACCCATGTGATTTTATGCACCTTGAGGTATTAGGATTTGTTGGCAAAATTGAGGCTTTTGTTAAAACAAAGGGAACTCTGGCAAATTTTCGAGAACTGTTGGGAATACAAACAGGGTGTTGCCCAATGTTCGTCTCCCATATGAAGGAATTGGACCCCTTGACCTTCTTGGAAGTTAGAGATCTTTCTCTTAGCTTTCCAATGAGACCAAGATTGTGTAAATTGGAGTTGTATAACTCAAGTTATGGGCAGAACACCATAGGAAGGTCAGATTTCATGTTTTAGGCATACAGCCCATGTACCTTGACGCTGTTGGCGCCAATCTGGCGCTGTGGGCGCCGTTGTCACTGTCTTCTGGCGCTGTCAGCGCGGGGGTCCTGCTGTTTCAGCACCCATTTTCTTTGAAATGTCATAACTTGGGCTACGGTACTCCGAATTGAGCGCGGTTCGAAGCCACGTGAAGCTAAAGAGAAAATCTATAACATACTAAGAAATGAGAAGCATTTGATAGGTTTAAAATTGTGGGAGTAAATAAAATGGTTAAGACTATTAGTGTTAAAAATGGATAGAACGAGTTTTAAGCTTTGTTGGTTTATGGGAACCACTTAGCAACCTTTAAACAAAAAAAGTGTATGGTATTAAGCTCTGGTATTAATGTTTCCGCATAAAGTGTTGGGTTATGATCACATTTATTTTAATGGTGTAAACGATGTTAAAAAGGAAAAAGTTTTCCCGTAAATTCAAATAACTTTTGTGATTGTAACTGCGCTTAATATCATATTCAATGTTAACAATACCGGTGTACAACTGGCTGTCAATCTAATGGTTATAATTTATTGAAAATTAATAATTAATTAATAAATATGACCCAATAAATTATAATCGTTAGATTGATAGAAATCAACAGCTTTAATAATAAGAGGTAATAAAAAAAATAGTAATATAACCTCTCCTTTGTTTGTAAGCGTATTTGTCTATTTTAATAGTAAAGATATATTTGTTTTTTTTCCCACTCCTTAACTGTAAAACATCCTTTACTATTTAAACTCAAGATCCCACATTGTTTACCACATCTACAACTTCATTACTAGCAACCGAACATCTTTGGATCAACAATCGAATTTGGAGCCACCAACTTTACAATATGGTTGGTCATTCCATTCTTCCTCTTTATTTTGAAAAAAAAAAAAACAAAAAAAAAAACTCCTTTATGTTGATTATCTATTTACTTTCTTAATCCTTATGGCACTTATCTTTAATGTGTCTCCGTATCCTGCGCAGTGGAAAGTTTTAACCCATGTACAAATATGTTATTTTCTATGTATCAATTATGTATCAATATATTTTATTTTATTTTGATACATTATCAATTTATTTTTAAAGAAAGCATGTGTGGTCCAGCTAGCATACATTAATTTGAATAATCGGACACGGTGTGTGATTGTTAAGCTCGAAAGACCATTGTGTATTATTTGACATGGGATCAAAATTGTGCCATTAATCCATTTTAGATGCATTATATTTCTTTTAGATTAAATATGATAGTGCACCTTATAAACAATGAAAGTCTACTGTGGAATAAACAAAATCCAATAGATGCAAGCTATTTTGTTGTTAAAAGTTCGGTTCCATTAGGTCCATTTCTTGATTGCCATGCGTATTTTAGCTTAATAATGACATGTGAACTAACTAATCTTCTTATTGCTTCTTATGATTTTGATTCTGTAGGAGCAGACTCTCTCCCTTGAAATTGAGGTATTGCTACTTTCTATGTTACCTATTTTATTTATATTTTTCGTTCATTCCTTTTCAAATTTTATTCTTCGGTACGATAATTTTTTACATTTTCCTGCTGATCATTATGTCTGTATCAGCAAGAAATTGTTCAAAACTACGGAAGAGTGAAGTCTGTTGATCTGCATCCAACTGAGCCATGGTAACGACACTTCTAATTGACTTATATAATACGTATTTCTGCAACTCTAAAAGGCTAGAACATGATTTCTTGTATATGCGAGATGAGAAAAACATCATTGGTTAGCAAGTTTCCTTGTGCAAATTCTATGTGTAGCGGACTTCATATATACACCTGCATAAACGTATGTTTTCTGCAGCTGGTACTGCAAGTACTTAGATTTATTGTTTTTCTCATGCAGGATTCTACTGGGTTTGCATTCAGGAGCTGTTTCTATTTGGAATTATCAGACGAAGGTAAAAAATCATATGTGAAGTCTGCACGCACTTAAGGACAATTTCTCATACAAATAAACTATATCCTGACACCCCGATTTCCATGTCTATTAATTTGTATGAAGAAACTGGCGTTATTGATAGTCAAATAAAGAAAAAAAGAAAGAAAGAAAACCATATCTATGAAACAACAGAACTGTTAGTTGTTCTGTATCTTTCAACATCTGTACATGTCTTTCTTTTCTTGAGGTTATAAGTAGTAGAATTTTGAGATAATACTTCGGAGTTTATTGTTAACCTTTGTTTTGATACTATGACAGACTGAAGAGAAGTCTTTCACATTCACTGATTATCCAGGTAAATTTCACAATGCAGCACTTTGTGTAAATGGTATAATTATACTTTTCTTCATGTCTTATTTCCTAACTCGGTTATCTTATGTTTGTTATGTGAAAATGCTTGCAGTCAGATCGGCAAAGTTCATTGCTCGGGAAAACTGGGTTGTCGCAGCAAGTGATGACAAATATATTCGCATCTACAATTATGACGAAGCAAGAAAGATAGGAGCATTTAAGGAACATAAAGATTTTATCAGGAGTTTGGCTGTGCATCCTTCGCTGCCATATGTGGTGTCAGCTTCTGATGATAAAGCTCTAAAGTTGTGGACTTGGAAGGACTGTTGGGCTTGGTGTAAGACCGTTGAAGGGCACTCACATAATGTGATGCAAGTGGCATTTAACCCGAAGGATCGAGCTACTACCTTTGCCAGTGCATCCTACGATGGCACCTTGAAGGTATCATGAGTGCCCCTTAGCTGCAAACTTCATGACTGCACATCTTAAATTCATTAACTAGCTTTTGCTTCAATTGTCTCCTTTTTGTAGATTTGGGATGTCTATAGTTCAACTCCAAAATTTACCCTGTATGGACACTTGCAAGGAGTGAATTATGTTGATTACTTCATTAGCAATGACAAACTATATCTTTTAAGTGGTTCTGATGATTACACTGCAAAGGTTTGCATATCAATCACTCCTCAGTCTTCTTTAATTGTCTTCGGTCTTTTGAGATATTTTCCATCAAGGCCTAAATCCACATTTCAACAGGTATGGGATTACCATTCTAGAAACTGTGTACAAACACTTGAAGGACATGGAAAAAGTGTTACAGCCGTGTGTGGTCATTCTGAGCTTCCTATAATAATAACAGCTTCACTGGACACTACTGTTAAAATATGGGATGCTGTCACTTACAGGTACTTCATTAGTTATTGGAAATCCCATAAACGAAACAATTTCCCCTAGCAGTTCTCGTTCATAATTACTATATTTAATTTAGTGTGTTAACGAAATTCTCTTGTGGTTCACATTTTTAACGGTTACCATTAACATGCAGGTTTCAGACTACGTTGAACTTTGGTCTCGGAAGAGTATGGAGTATTGGATACAAGGAAGGATCACCTCAGTAATTATTTGAAACTTCCTTTGACTACCAACAATTAAACACTTTTTACTTTTCCTTATTGACTGACATCACATGGCTACTTCCTGCAGGCTTGCTTTTGGTTGTGACAAAGGATTTGTTATTGTTAAGGTGAACCTCAAAGCTGCCCAGTGAAACGAGACTAAAAGGACAAACTAAACTGCTTTATCGGACTTTGGAAGGAAGATTACAATAAACCTGTCTGCTGCTGCAGAAATTACAATTGCTATTATGACAATTCTAAAATGAAAGACCAATGGCAAAATCGCATGTTCTCCTTGTAGGTGAGCTTAGCAGAACATGCTATTCTGCCGTTCGTTGTTTGTATTTGAAGGTATCTACCGTAGGCCTTTTTTGTGACTGTTCCTGTTGTAATATATGGTGCTTTCACGTAATAAATTCCTTTCTTCAAAACTCGTATATTTTGATTCAAAAATAATGTGATTTGTGGAGTTAGATACGACATTGATGCAATCATCTTCAAAATCTCACCCAAAGGGGCCAAAATGATGAATCAATTTACATTACACATCTGCTACCCAGTCTTGTGCTCTACATACTCTGTTCACTTGGAAAGATATATTTATCTCCTATAGCCACTTTTTGCTTGGGCTTTTAAAAAAAAGTAACTTTTATCTCTTCCTTATTTTAAAAGTATTTTTTATAAAAGTTAAAGTTATTTATATTTTTATAAAAATATTTAGTTTTTAAAAAAAATATTTGGTTTTTCTGTTTTTTTGAAATGTTAAAATTTTGAGCTTATGAAAAATAATAGATTTTTTGACTTTTTTGTAACGAATAAAAAATGAGAAATGTTTTTTTCTTTAAAAAAACAGCTGTTAAAGAAAAAAAATACATCCAAAGAGACCTCTAATTGTCGGATACCTAAGAGTAAAAGGACAAAAGTTTTTTATACGCAAGTATTGACACCGACACGTGAGCATATCAGAAAGATAAATTATATAATATGCAAAGAGCCGCTGAGGATAATTACACTCTTTTCTTAATTAGATATTTTATGTCGGAGTTATGATCTATTTACTTAAGTCGCGAGCGTCATGTGGCATTATCACCTACTCAAGGATTCTTTAAAGAATAATTCTTCAATTATCCTAACAATATAAAACAGTAAGGCAGCTAAAGATAGAGTTTCTATTCCAACAGAAAGGAAGTTAAATCCTACTATAACTGAGAGATTTACACAAGCTCAAGAAGTAACCCTTATAAATAAGAGGTTAAAGATCTCAGGTATACACTTTGAACTACTTTACTATTATTGCCAACACTGTGCACACACCCACGTCTTGGCTATAAGCCTATTGCTTGTGCGCAGTGATTGAGAGATTGGCTATAGGCCAAATACATACCTACTTTTACGGTATCTCTGAGCGCATACCTTACGGTATAGCAATACAGTTTTTCCTCTTTCCAGGACCGAACATTGGCGCCGTCTGTGGGAAACGGCAAATTTCGACTCCCATCCATGGTGAACACGTGTGGCATAGCACGCAGCCACAGATTACAGGCGACCTCGCGCGCCCCGAAATTGTTGAAACCACATACATATGAGGAGACAAATCCTACCGCAAAAAAGGTTTTTGATCCTCCGAGAGACTCTAGTATGGAGCTCTAGATCCAAGCAGATGACGATTTGACAAAGAGGTCATTAAATAACGAAAAAGCTCCAACTCAGCCCGGGCTTCAACTTTAATAGCTCGGCCTCGGCCTTGAGCTCAGCTCAACAAAGGGCTTCAACTTTAATAGCTCGGCCTCAGCCTTGAGCTCCAACTCAGCCCTGTGAAGGGCTTCAAATTTATTAGCTCGGCCTTGAGCTCAGCCCAACGAAGGGCTTCAAGATTAAAAGCTCGACATCAGCCTTGAGCTTCAACTCAGCCCAACTAAGGGCTTCAAGTTTAATAGCTCGGCCTCGGCCTTGAGCTTCAACTCAGCCCAATGAAGGGCTTCAAGTTTAAAAGTTCGGCATCAGCCTTGAGCTTCAACTCAGCCCAGTGAAGGGCTTCAAATATATTAGCTCAGCCTCAGCCTTGAGCTTCAATTCAGCCCAGTTAAGGGCTTCAATTCAGCCCGATAAGGGCTTCAAATTTATTAGCTCGGCCTCGGCCTTGAGCTCAGCCCAATTAAGGGCTTCAAGTTTAAAAGCTAGGCCTCAGCCTTGAGCTCTAAATCAGCACAGTGAAGGGCTTCAAGTTTAGTAGCTCAGTCTCAGCCTTGAGCTTCAACTCAGCCCAGTTAAGGGCTTCAAATTTATTAGCTCGACCTCAACCTTGAGCTCAGCCTAGCGAAGGGCTTCAAGATTAAAAGCTCGGCATCAGCCTTGAGCTTCAACTCAGCCCAGTGGAGGGCTTCAAATTTATTAGCTCGGCTTCAGCCTTAAGCTTCAACTCAGCCCAATTAAGGGGCTTCAAATTTATTAGCTCGGCCTCGGCCTTGAGCTCTGCCCAACGAAAGGCTTCAAGATTAAAAGCTCGGCATCAGCCTTAAGCTTCAACTCAGCCCAACTAAGCGCTTCAAGTTTAATAGCTCGACCTCGACCTTGAGCTCCAACTCAGCCCAATGAAGGGCTTCAAGATTAAAAGCTCGGCATCAGCCTTGAGCTTCAACTCAGTTCAACTAAGGGCTGCAAGTTTAATAGCTCGGCATCGGCCTTGAGCTCCAACTCAGCCCAATGAAGGGCTTCAAGATTAAAAGCTCGGCATCAGCCTTAAGCTTCAACTCAGCCCAACTAAGCGCTTCAAGTTTAATAGCTCGGCCTCGACCTTGAGCTCCAACTCAGCCCAATGAAGGGCTTCAAGATTAAAAGCTCGGCATCAGCCTTGAGCTTCAACTCAGTCCAACTAAGGGCTGCAAGTTTAATAGCTCGGCATCGGCCTTGAGCTCCAACTCAGCCCAATGAAGGGCTTCAAGATTAAAAGCTCGGCATCAGCCTTAAGCTTCAACTCAGCCCCAACTAAGGGCTTCAAGTTTAATAGCTCGACCTCAGCCTTGAGCTCCAACTCAGCCCAATGAAGGGCTTCAAGTTTAAAAGCTCGGCATCAGCCTTGAGCTTCAACTCAGCCCAACTAAGGGCTTCAAGTTTAATAGCTCGACATCAGCCTTGAGCTCCAACTCAGCCCAATGAAGGACTTCAAGTTTAATAGCTCGCCTTCAGCCTTGAGCTTCAACTCAGCCCAGTTAAGGGCTTCAAATTTATTAGCTCAGCCTCGGCCTTGAGCTCAGTCCAACGAAGAGCTTCAAAATTAAAGCTCGGCCTCAGCCTTGAGCTCCAACTCAGCCTTAGCCATAGCTTCAAGCTCCGATATCAAAATAAAGACAGAAAAGGAGAGATGTGATCCTAAGAAAAGTCTCACACCCTAATCTGAGATAAAAATGAAGTTGGAATTGGAGAGATGGGATCATAGCAAAAGGATCACACCCCAATCCGCGATAAAAATAAAGACGAAATTGGAGAGATGAGATCCTAGCAAAAGGATCACACCCCGATCCGAAAAAAGTAGAAGAAGAAAGATGGAATTGGAGAGATGTGATTCTAGTAAAAAAGATCACACCCCAATCCGAGAAGACGAATTTGGAGAGATCGTGATCCTAGAAAAGTATCACACCCCAATTTGAGATAAAAAAAAATCGAGGCGGCATATGATGTCGGGCTCCTATTCAAGATTTTGGCAACAAAGCCAAATGACAAAGTTTGCGGCCCAACAGGCCAACCTCAAATTAAAATTCCATCACTAATGAAGCGTTGCTTAAAGTAGAAAGTCACGGTATGCGAAGCCGGACTCAAACAAAATATGACAAAAAGTCTAGTCCAACAGTAAAGCCAGGGTACGTTAAGCCGGGCTAAATCAGAAAGGCAAAGATACCGCCTTCAAAAGTGTAGACAAGGAAAAAGCCAAGTCAATTTAAAGAAAGCCACGGTATGTGAAGCTAGGCTCAAAATGAAGAAGGCAGAAAACTGCCCTAGTAACTTAAGACTACAACAACAAAACCAAGTCGTTAAGGTTTTGGCCACAAAGTCCTAACAGGCTGGCCTCAAATCAAAAAGCCATCGCGAATGAAGCGGGACTCAAAATAAAAGCCACGGTATACGTATTCGAGCTTAAAATCGAGGAGGCGAACTCCTCCTTCAAGAATCCAAGACTATGGCAAAAGAAGTCAAGTCCGTCAAAAACAAGAGAAGTCATGGTATTCGAAGCCAGACTAATCGTTCAAGAAGGCACAGAAGACCTTCCTCAAAATTAAGATATAGGAAGCAAGTCAAATCCAAAAGGGAAAAGTCGTAGTAAGAAAATTTGTGCTCCCTAAAGTACAATACACCTTTGCAAAAGGTCAAATCCATGCTAATAGAGATTTCGGTATGCGAAATTGAGCCAAATCTGGAACCACGACACTTAACGCCAGGAAGTGCAAAGTCGGGTTAATTACTAAGGAGGCGCGAAATGCCATCCTAGAACTTAGGCAAACGGCTATATAAAAGACTGACTATAAGCCTAGTCAAAACTAAAAAACCTGGCAAGAGAAGCCGAGCTCAAAGTCAACAAAAAAAAGGGCAAACACGTCCTCACCACTTAGAGACTTCAAGAGAAAAGAAGCCAATATAAAAAGCTAAACTCAGAAGAGGTAGTCACACTAGACCCTAGGCAGGATCATAGTACCTCGGTACGGTCGACGTATCAATCAAACTTAGGCACCCCAGCAGTCCGAGCTTCCGAACTGCGGGGCTGGGGGCAACTGCTATGGAATATTTCCATATCCTAACCACCTACCCAAGGATCCCTTAAAGGATAATTCTCCAATTATCCTAACAATATAAAACAGTAAGGCAGCTAAGGATAGAGTCTCTATCCCAACAGAAAGGAAGTTAAATTCTACTACAACTGGGAGATCTACACAAGCCCAAGAGGTAACCCTTATAAATAAGAGGTTAAAGACCCCAGATATACACTTTGAACTACTTTACTATTACTGCCAATAATGTGCACACACCCACGTCTTGGCTATAAGCCTATTGCTTGTGCGCAGTGATTGGAAGATTGGCTATAGCCACATACATACCTACTTCTACGGTATCTCTGAGTGCATACCTTACGGTATAGCAATACGATCTTTCCAGGATCGAACAGAATTAAACAGATAAATTAATTTTTTACAAGGCGAAAAACTAATTAGTCCTGAAATACGAAAAAAAATTTCAAAGGAAGAATTATATTGATAA